TCTGCGTCCGCGTCCTGGTGGTTTGTGTCCGGAATTCCCGTGCTCCTCCTTGGGATTCCTACCTCTCCGCTCAGTCACCGACCTATTAACTGGAGTCGTTTTAAGCTCCTGGTCTGATCCGTCCGACCTCCGTGTGAGCCTGGTTCTGAGGCTCCTTCTGCATCTTCGCTTCGTGGCTCGATGTGCCCGTGATGCCCTCTCCACACCAGCTGCGTCAGATCCGTCAAGGGAACGGCCGCATCGGGTCTTGGCGCTGTGCTGGTGAAACAGAGGAGGGGACGCCGTCTGTCGTCCTGCCAGGGCCCGGGCCTTCAGGAGTCCAGCTCAGGGTAGGGCCCCGGGGACTCTCGGACTCCTGCTGGGTTTGGGGTCCTTGGATCCAACTGTGGGCATCGCAGCTTTCAGTGTCCACCCCTCACAGGCACGGAGTGTCCAGGCGGGAGTGGGCTGCCCTGGGGGCCAGGACCCCGGCGAGGGAGCCCGGGGCCGGATCCCGCGGGGCCTCCCCTGAGAATGCAGCCAGGGCTGTGTGAGCAGCTTGAGGCTCAACGTGATCCCCGGAGGAAATCGGCACAACTGCGACGGCTTAGCCTCGTGGTCCCGGGAGGGAGTGGACAGGCCGCAGCGCCCCCGTGTCCCAGGGGGGCAGGCGGGTGCCTTCCGCAGCGACAACCAGGAGCATGAGAGACGTGCGGCCTTGCAGCACCGTGGGTGAGAGAGAAAACACCTGGATTCTAGGGGCACGGGAGGGACTCTAACCCGTCGTGGGGCGGTGGGGCGAGCGCGATGTCAGAAGGCGACGGGCCAGGACGGCCCAGTCTGGGCGGAGTGGGGGGCAGGGGCTGGAGGGAGGCGCCCCTCAGAGCAGGGCGGGGGACAGGAGTCGCAGGACGGGTGCCTGACCCTGCAGGTTCGAGACCCACCAGCCACGGCGCAGGGATGGGGGGCGACAAGAGCAGGTGAGGGAGACACTCAGGCAGGCAGGGGAGACCGAGGCGGGGCGCCCTCGGAAGGGAAGGTCTGCATGGGGGCAGGGTCAACACCTCGGGCTCCGGGGGAGACAACGTCCAGGAGACATGGTTTGGCCTTTGTTAGATTTAAACACGTGAACAGTGTGAGGAGGGGTCGGGGGGCTCCCCAGGGCACAGGCAGGGGGACAGCTCCCGGGAGTAGGTCTTGGGGAGGGCACCGGTGCAGAGCAGGGCGGCGGCCTGGGGGGCCAGGGGTTTGGGCTGTGCATGCTTGTGGGGCATCGGGGGGCCCAGGCCCCGGGCAGACGTCCAGGGGAGCGGAGGTTGTGGGCCATAAGGACGGGGCAGGCCCTCGGTCTCCCCCAGAACCCACGCCCCCGCCGCTCTGTGTCCTCCCCGCCCGACTGCGTGCCGCCGATTCTTAGACCCCGACGATGCCCCAGCCCCAGCAGCAGGTCTGCCCTGCGCCCCCAAACCACTCTTCAGGTCACCCACATTCGTGGACGAGAGAGCCAGGCGTCCCTGCTGCGTCACCTGCTCCGGGGCCCCGGGCCCTGGCATGGCCACCTGGCCCTCCCTGCACCTGCTCCCTCCCCACTCATGGAGGTCAGCACCACCGCCTCCGAGAAGCCTCCTGGGCTGTGCCCGCAGGGAAGCGGGCTGAGTGTGCACGGGGACTGGGCGTCCTGTGTGGCCTGGAGCAGCGCCAGCCCCTGCCTGCGCCTCCGGCCTCCACCTTCCTGCACAGCCGCTCGGCCCAAGCCACCGTGCTCAGGTCCCCAGGCCCAGGGCCTCTGAGGCCCTGCAGGTGACAGGTCTGCAGTGGATCCCGGGGGGCTGGCGGCTTGGCTCTGGGCACACAGCAGGCGGCTCTGCTCAAAACCACGGTGGCTCCACCCGGGCTGCCCGCCTCGTCCTGAGCAGGGACCCACCTGCCACCGAGCGCCGAGTCCTGCCCGGGGCCTCCCTCGGCTGCCTCAGGACGCCTACCCTGCCTCTAGGGCTCGGAGGAGCTCCAGGCTGCTCAGGGATTTTTTTTTTTAAGATTTTATTTATTTATTCATGAGACACACACACAGAGAGAGAGAGAGAGAGAGAGACAGGCAGAGGGAGCAGCAGGCTCCCTGCAGGGAGCCCAACGCGGGACTCAATCCCGGGACCCCGGGTCACGCCCTGGGCCGAAAGAAGGCAGACGCCCAACCGCCGAGCCCCCAGGCGTCCCGCCGTGTGTTCATTCTCCATCCCAGTCTCTCTCCTGCTGTTAAGGAGACGCCGTTTACAGAATTAGCACAATTACCATGACTGAGGCCATGAAACGTTGTATCTGTAGGTCATAAATTATTATTATTGAGCAGTTTGGAATTTTAGGAGGTAAGTGTTGGGTGTCCTCCGTGTTCGCGGGGAGGGCAGGGCGGGGAGGGAGGAGGCCGGGGAGCACGTCCCTGCAGCAGGTGCCGTGCTGTGCACCGTCCCCCAGGTGCTGCGGGCCTGCGGGCTGCCCGACACCTGTCCCCTCCGGACCCACGGGAGGGAGCCGGACCATAGGCGGCCGGAGGCCACGCCTCCTCTGCGGATGACGCGGCGTCCGTGTGTCTTGCTGTGAGGTGACCGCGGTGACCCAGGTCCTTGCGTCTGCCGTCCCAGCGGGTGTGGGTACCTGGCTGTGCCCTGGCGTCGTGCGCAGGGCCGTCCTGGGTGGTACAGAGGGTCGGGTTCGGTGCGTCTGAACACCGCTGACTTCTGCTTTCGGAGAATGTGTGGTTGTTAGAATTCGCCATTTCGTCGAGTTTTTAAACCAACTGCCGAGCACAGTGTCCAGGCTCCGACTGGTTGGGGAAGGAGCAGGGGGTGGGGGCGGGGGTTCCCGGGAGGCTGCCCCCGCTGCTCACACCGCAGCCCCTCGGCCCCTGGCCCCGCGTCCACGGCGCGGCCCAAGCCGGCAGCAGATCAGAAACCGCTGGGCCGTGCAGGGTCCTCCTCCCTGGGGGGGAGGGCTGACGGGCTCCGACCTCGGGTCCCATTGCCAGGATCACATCCTCAAGAGCGCCTCCAAGAACGTCCCATTAATGCTGCAGAACTGCACAAAACGGAGCGGTCCACAGGCTACTTCGGGAGCTGGGGGTGTCCCCAGGCTGCTGGGCCTTCCCCCACGGAGCCCTCCTGGGGCTGTAAACACGGAAGCGCTGGGGACCAGGCCCACCGCACGTTTCAAGCAGGGATATTTTCCTACAGACTGGGGTGTCCCCGTGAACCCGAGCAAGCTCGGTGCCTTTGCCGGACGAGGTCAGAATTCAGGGACAATACACCCCACTCTGTATGGGAGACCTTAGAAGGTGCTTGCCGTGCAGACGTCAGCGGCAGGCCACGCGGGGTGGGGGATCCTGGGTCCTGGGGGCGTCCACTCGGCGGCTCAGGGCTGCGGTCGCCCCCGCTCCCCAGCCTGCGAGGCCACCACCTGCTCGGCAGCAGCCGCGGGCTCCCGCACAAGTACCTCGCTGCTCGTCGCAGGGGCCGGGGCGTGCAGATGCACACAGCGTGTCGTGGTCGCCGGGTGACGGGGTGTCTCCGAAATGTCCCACCTTCTCCACGAGCCTGACGTTCACCCACTTGTCATTTGTAGGCTCATCTGGGGGAAGTTTCTTTCTATTTTCCCACAACCAACGTGACTAAGGAATATAAACTTTCCTGCAACTGTGCCGATTTCTGAAGTCGGCACAGAACCAGCTGGGACCAGGACTCCGGGCAGGGTCACCCACCGAGAGCTGGGAGCTGCCACCCAGGCCTCAGAAGCCTGCCCTGCCCAGGCCTGGACGCATCGCCCCCAGAACCAGCGACACGCGTCCCTGGAAAACCCTTCGGCTCTGCTCTCTTCTTGTGTGGCCGCCCTCGACCGGGAAGCTCCTGGCGGCCCCCAGGACTGTGTGAATCGCTTCGGACCCTGCTCTTCTGGCCCCGACTGTACCCTCAGCTTGGACCTCATGCCGCTCCCTCTTGGTGACTTAGGTCCCACCTGACTGCAGAGGTATCTGCCCTGCCCCGTGGCCCCCTGCCTTCCCCTGGCATCATTCCCCGTCCCCCTGTCCAGAGCCAGGGCTCCGTGAGGCTCCGATGTTCCTGAGGAGGAATCTCATGTCTGGGGAAGGTCATCAAGGGATGTGAAGGGATTGGGGGGGGGTCAGGCAGAGGAAGTGCGACAGGACACTTAGGGGTGCAGGGGAGAGAAGCAGGGCGATGCGGATACTCTCTGGCCTGACGGGACATGATGACACTTGAAGGCCCCCTGGAGACACTGGATATCATCTCTGAGGGCTCCAGCAGGGACATGGCAAGGTCAGACCATCACTGTGGGAGGACAGTGCCATGTTGAGGTGTGGGAGGGTTGTCCTTAGTGTAGTGGTGGGAGGATGGAGAGAAGTGGTGGAGGATGAGGGAGTAGGTGGAGGATAGAGGGAGGAGGTGGAGGATGAGGGAGGAGGAGGAGGATGGAGGGAGTAGGTGGAGGATGGAGAGAGGAGGTGGAGGATGGAGGGAGGTGGTGGAGGATGGAGGGAGGAGGAGGAGGAGGGAGGAGGAGGAGGATGAGGGAGGAGGGAGAATGGAGGGAGGAGGAAGAGGATGAGGGAAGAGGTGGAGGATGGAGGGAGGAGGAGGAGGATGAGGCAGGAGGTGGAGGATGGAGGGAGGAGGAAGAGGATGAGGGAAGAGGTGGAGGATGGAGGGAGGAGGAGGAGGATGAGGGAGTAGGTGGAGGACAGAGGGAGGAGGAGGAGGATGGAGGGAGGAGGAGGAGGAGGGAGGAGGTGGAGGATGGAGGTACGAGGTGGAGGATGGAGGCAGGAAGTGGGGGATGGAGCACTCCTGCCCCTTCCTGAGAGGAGCTTGGTGGCTGCACTGCCCGAGCAGACCGGGCGCTGGCTGTCGTTGATCGGGGCGGGGGGGGGACCCCAAGGGGCCCCGGCGCGGACCGCGGACCGTGAGCTGCGCCCTGTCTTGCAGCCGCAGAGCCGGGAGCCGAGGCCAGTCCGCGCCATGAGCAACCGGACGCTGCTGACGGAGTTCATCCTGCAGGGCTTCTCCGACGTGCCGCGGCTGCGCGGGCCCTTCTTCGCGCTCTTCCTCTGCCTCTTCGCGGCGGCGCTGGGCGGCAATCTCCTCATCGTGGCGGCCATCGCCTCCAGCCCGCGGCTCCACACGCCCATGTACTTCTTCCTGGTCAACCTGTCTGTGCTGGACGTCACCTGCACGTGCACCGTGGTGCCCAAGCTGCTGGACATCCTGCTGGCCGAGAGGAGGAGCATCTCCTACGGGGGCTGCATGGCCCAGATGTACTTCCTGTCGTGGTCGGTGGCGGGGGAGGTGCTGCTCTTCACGGCCATGGCCTACGACCGCTACGTGGCCATCTGCCGGCCGCTGCGCTACGGCTCGCTCATGAGCCCCAGGGTGTGCGCGGCGCTGGCCGGCGCCGTGTGGGGCATCAGCGTGCTGGGCGCCGGGGTCAACACCTGCCTGATGACGCGGCTCAGCTTCTGCGGGCCCAACGTGGTCGATCACTTCTTCTGCGAGATCCCCCCAGTGCTGGTGCTCTCCTGCTCCTCCACGCTCGTGAACGACGTCATGGCCGTGATGGCCGACATCTTCTTCGCCATGCTGAACTTCCTGCTCACCGTGGTGTCCTACGGCTTCATCATCTCCACCATCCTGAAGATCCGCACAGCCGAGGGGAAGCAGCGAGCCTTCTCCACCTGCTCCTCCCACCTCACCGCCGTCACCTTGTACTACTCCACCATCATCTACACCTACCTGAGCCCTGGCTCCAGCTACTCCCCAGGGATGGGCAAGGTCATGGCCGTACTGTACTCCACTGTGAGCCCCACCCTGAACCCTCTCATCTACTCCCTCAAGAACAAGGAGGTCAAGGCAGCCCTCAGGAAAGTCTTGACGCTCGTGGTCAAAAGCCTGTAAACGGGCGGGCTCTCGGGCCAGCGACCCCGTGACATGCACCCCACCCGCTATAAACACCCTCTCTCTGCGCGACGCTGACACCCCCGAGACAGCTTTGCCGGGAAAACCCTCCCCTGTGAGTTGCCTACGGCGCCTCGGGGAGCGGTGGCTTCGGCCGCCTGTTACTGACGGGCTGCAGCTCCCGGAATACGACACACGTTAGTCTACATGGGGCGCGCGGCTCCTTCGCAGATCCCTGGGCTGCACCCCGACTCGGAGTCCCACCCGCGTCTTATTGACCGTCGTGACGTGGGAGCTGACTCAGCCCCGTCACCCATGCCCCCGGGAGGCTCCCCAAGGTTCTGCTCAGGCCACCAGATCTTGGCCTCGAATTGGAGAGGACGCAACTCCTACGACGGCTGATTTCGTTGTGTCGACCCGATTGGGCTCTGGGACACGCGACAGCTGCCCAGACATCACCTTGGGCTGGGTCTGTGAGCGCGTCTCTGGGAGACATGAGCCTCTGAACGGGCGTGAAGATCACAGACCATCTTCACACACCGGGGCGGCATCACCAGGCCCCTGGAGGCCAGGACGGGACAAAAAAGAGAAGGACAGTGTACTTGCTTCTTCGGCTTCCAGACTCAGAATCGTGCTTGATTTGCAGGCCTCTGGACGTGGCTGAATCACGCCATCAGCTGCTCCAGGTCTGCAGGTGGCAGACGGAGGCCAGTGGGGCTTCTCGTCTTCCACAAACACTCGAGCCAATCCCAATAATAAACCTCCCAATGTAGATGAGCTAGGGGTGGTGGAAGGGGAGGTGGGCGGGGGGTGGGGGTGACGGGATGACGGGCACTGGGGGGGGACACTTGACGGGATTATTCTATATGTTGGCAAATTGAACTCCAATAAAAAATAAATTTATTAAAAAAAATAAAGAAAAAAATAAACCTCCCAATGTACCTCTGCGTGTATATGCACACACTCACCGTACGGTCGGTCGGCACACACGCAGGCAATCACACGTGTATTGTCTATACGCGTGCTACACGGGTGTGCGTGTTGTATACGTGTGTGCGCGTGTGTATAGATGTGAATGCAAATCCTCATGAGTCCAAGAGCGTGTGAGTACCTCCTGCTGGTTCTGTTTCTCCGGAGAACCCGCCAAGCCCCCTCCCTTCCCGTGCATGATTCCCCGGATTCCCTGGAGACCACTCAGGGCTCATCTCCCAACTCTGCAGGTGCTCGGTGCTATTTCCGAACTGTCACTGATTTTGCCCTGTCAAGCCGTGAAGGTCCCTCATTTCCCGCATCACCTCAGCGGCTCGGACAGGCGACCGGAGAACGTGATTGCAACCAACCTTGAATTATTTCCCCCACTTCTCCATCTCTGTAAGAGCAGATACCTAGGTCTCATCCCTGCAAAATGTTCCAGGAAGAGTAAAAACAGTTCCACGGGTGGTTGATCCTCCCCGGATCTGCGCTCCCCGCTTACACACACCCCATTTCGACCTCCAGAGGAATCCCTGTTAATTTCTTCTTTTACATTCTTCCAGAAAATTTTTGTTGAGCGTCGCTAAACAAATACTGGATAGCTGTCTGTCACGCCATTTGTAGATTTCTGTAATTTTTTTATTGTACAAAGTAATTTTATTTAGTCAGGTATTTATTGATGGAGGTTTGGATTATTTCATTTTTCTGTTATTAAAATACTACACTTGGGGACCCCTGGGTGGCGCAGCGGTTTAGCGCCTGCCTTTGGCCCAGGGCGCGATCCTGGAGACCCGGGATCGAATCCCACGTCGGGCTCCCTGCATGGAGCCTGCTTCTCCCTCCTGTGTCTCTGCCTCTCTCTCTCTCTCTCTCTCTCCTCTCTCTCTCTGTCTATCACGAATAAATAAATAAATCTTTAAAAAAATACTACACTGAATCTTTTTACAAGTACGTGAGCACTGAGTATTTATGCAGAGCACAGTGTGGGGGAGGCGGAATTCATCACGGAAGGGATATTTATAGAAACTGTCAAATTTTGTTTCTTTGTTCACAAAATGCAAATAATGTACAAATGTATTAATTTTCCCGTAGCTTCACTAAAATTTCCAATCCAAAGGAGAAATTTTATTTCACTGTTGATGTAACTTGCACACACCCCCCCCCAATGCCTGCAATACCAGGTCTCTCTTGGGAATTGGCTCGTCCTTCCTCAGCTAAGCCGTGTGCTGGCCACCCTCCCGGGGCGTGGACTGCAGGTGCTCAGGAGGGGACGCACAGGGGCTCCGGGGCCCACGCAGGCCCTGCCAGCCTAAGCGAAGGTTGCCTGCTCCACCCGAAGTGCCTACAAGGAGCCTCCCAGAGGCGAACAGATCGGGACCCGCTCGTTTCTGGCCAGAAACACGACAGAGGCGGGCGGCATTTTTCTGGAAAAAGGTCAATAGCTTAATATTACAAAGAGATATTATTAATAAACTGATTAAAGTGCATGACAACACGAAATCATGCGTCCGGCATCCGTTCGAGATGACAGACAGACGAAAGGGGCAGAACCGAAGCGTGACAGACCAGGGTTAGGGTTAGGGCAGGTCAGTGAGCAGATAGAGCAAAACACGCGCGGGACACGGAATCCGTAACTGCATCCGAGCAGCCCGTGGTCCGTGCTAAAAAAGTGAGTGTTACTGAAGACAAAAATGCAGAGGCTTAATTAAAAGCCAAATCGGACGTATCGACATGGAAAGTGCTGTGCGGCAAGTGGAGGCTCTCGAGGCACAGAGCTGGTGGCTCTGCAGACGCAGCAGCAGCCGCTCCTCGCGACGGAGGCCAAGCAGAAACCTGGGAAACCAGCGTCTCTGGTGACCCACGAGGGATACCGAGTCGCCTGTCAGCCGGAAGCGGACCACCCAAAAGGGGGTGGAAACAACAATGGAAATTGGTCACAAAAGATTTCGTAGGTCCAGGGATCTCAAGGGTCGCCCCGAGCAGCACAAACACGCGCTGACTCCGCGTCGTGACCACCGTCACCCAGTCTGACCCGGAACAGAGACTCTCAAGAGGAGCTGAAGGACAGGAAGACTCACATATGAGGGAACAGAGATAAAATATTGGCTTGTCACCAGGAATTGTGCGAGCCGGGGCGCCCGGGGGCGCAGGCGGGGGAGCGGCCAGCTCGGCATCGGCTCAGGTCGTGATCCCAGGGTTGTGGGATGGACCTTGCACCGCGCTCTGAGCGCAGAGCTGGGTCTCCCTGAGGTTCCCCCTCTGCCCTCCTCCCCCTACGAGGAAGGAAGGAAGGAAGGAAGGAAGGAAGGAAGGAAGGAAGGAAGGAAGGAAGGAAGGAAGGAAGGAGGGAAGGTGTGTGAGCCAGAAGGCTGTGCAATGACAGCTCTATTTTTTTCTTTTTTTATATGAATTTATTTTTTATTGGTGTTCAATTTGCCAACATACAGAATATCACCCAGTGCTCATCCCGTCAAGTGCCCCCCTCCGTGCCAGTCACCCAGTCACCCCCACCCCCCGCCCTCCTCCCCTTCCACCCCCCCTAGTTCCATCTGCCCTACCACCCAGCAATTGCCCTGCTGGGGATTTACCCCGAAGATACAGATGCAGGGAAACGCTGGGACCCCTGCACCCCGACTACAGCTCTAAAATGCAAAAAGCTAAAAAAATAATAATAATAAATAAATAAATAAATAAATAAATAAATAAAAATAAAATGCAAAAAGCTGTGCGTGGAAGCATCTGTGGACAAGAGCCACAGAGTGTGTCGCGCCTCAGGCGATTCAGAAGGAGATGAAAGTCTTGTGTGTGGTTCTCTAACAGAGACTTAGGGAAGGAAGAATTCTTTTTTTTTTTTTTTTTTTTTTAAGGAAGGAAGAATTCTGATTTTACAAAACATCTTCCAGGGAGGGGAAACACTAAAGCAATCCTGACTTACCCGACAAGGCCACCAGGGCCCTGAGTTCCGAGGCCCGAGGCAAAGATATTACAAGAAAAAACAGATCAAAACCCTCCACAAAACATTACAAGGTCGGGCTGATAACGCACAAACGATGAGCACCGCGGCAGTGGAGGCTCAGCCTGAGGGCGGGAGGCTGGTTCAACCAATACAGTTCACGTTCCAACCGGCGACCGGAGCGTACGATGATCCTTGAGATGCAGAAAAACCAGCTGACGAAACTCAATGTGCGCCCAGAACACTGACGGGCGACCTGCACACCTACACCTGACGGGCGACCTGCACACCGCGCTCTCTGGGGCCCCGCTTCCCGGACAAGCGGCTGCTCGAGGAGAAGCGGAGGCTCTGTAAGGCTGGTGGGACCCCAGACCCGGCCCCAGGGACACGGAGGCCACGGGGCGTCCAAGGTCACCGCAGGGCCCCCTTTGGCTGGAGCCTCCTTCCAGAGCTCCCGGGGGCCGCGGGGACCAGGGAGGCTCGCCCCCCACAGCCCGCGCTCCGAGCCAACACGTCATCACCTTTTCCTAAAGGTGACGGAGAAAGGGAGGGACGCGGCGCAAAGGTCACAAGAGGCAAAATCGCGTGACTGTTCACTATTTGGCTCTCGAATGGGTCGGGATGTCACCAGTGGGAGCGCGTCCAGCTGGCTCTGTCTCCTTTGGACCCATCGTGATCGTCCTTGAGCAACCTCTGGCTGGAGGCCACCGGCTTCCTCCCAGGACACGTCCCCCAGGCGCTGCTGTCCCCGGGGTTCCACGGCTGCCCCGTCGCCCACACCCCGCACACCTGCTGGGCCACGGGCCGGCAGCAGTACATCCACCTGCTCCTCCCACGTCCCGCTGTCACGGTGACCTCCTCGGCTGTGTCCTCTGCCCCGTGAGCTGCCCGTCGCAGTCCTGAAACCGACAGTGAGTCCATGTGCTCTGCGGACCTGGGCGCCCCCAGCGCGACCCCCCATCCAGTCCCCGAGGAGCCCACGGGTCAAGCTCGCCCGGGGGAGCCCCGTCACCCTTCCCGGAGGTCACGGTGATGTCAAGGCCTCCTCGCGGCCTGGGCCCCCTGCACCTGTCTG